TCCAAATCTAAGAAGTATGTTTAGCAAGATACTGGTATCAACAAGGGGATGAGGCCCAGGGCATTGTTGGGGTGACAAAAAGCTCCCCTTCCTTCTTTCTAGAAAAGAGGAAAGGAATCAGGCTGGGTTCAGGGTTCTGGGGAGGAAAGGAGGGAGGCAGGTAGGGATTTGTTCTTGGAACAGAAAAGCACAAGCAAGCTGAGCGGGCATCCACCTCAACGCACGACACTGACCATCCTGCAGACACAGGTGCTGAAGGAGCCTCAGAACACAGCTGGCATCATAGGCAGCACTCATGGGCCCAGGCAGCCTCCCCAAGCCTGCTGCCCCATGTCTCTTCATGCCCTGCCCACTTTCCTAACCTTCTCCCCCAGGAGTTTCCACCAAGAGAAGGAACAGCTGAGCTCACAGTACCTGGAGTTCTGTTGTACACACAGCTGTGCAGGCCCTGCATCGCCCTCGGGCCAGGACAACACTGTGGTTATATTCACCCAGCTCCGCCACCTCCAGTTGCCCCATCCTGAGAAATGGCTTCAAGAAGCAGCCCTGTCCTTTGGCCTGGATTTCTCTACGTGGGCTCAACTCACCCTTTTCCATGTGTCCTGCTCTTGTTTCTGCAGAGGCTATGCTGAGATGTCACTTTCTTTTTTTCAGGGACCTTAGTCTTGGCCTCTCCTTTTGAACTGCTCAAGGTCCCCTGATATGTGTTCTTCATTGAGATTTTTTTTTTGCAGAGGTTTGCTTCCCTGGAGATTAATAAATGCCCACAGCACACTTTGCTGAGGAAGCTGGGTGACACTCAGAGAGCTCTCTGTGTCTCTCTACCCTCCATGCTCTCTAGCAACCACATTCTCCACCGCAGTCTGTGCTCTGAAAGTTACAGGAGAGGACTTGCTGGGAAAAACCATTTTTCCAACTGGACTCCAAGTTGGAAACTGTCAAGTGGAAACATAAATACAATGAAAGGCTTAGGAAGAAAACTCAACAACAAATCTCAAGAAGCAGAGAATAGAATGTTGGGTGTCAGGGGCTGTGGAGGGGGAAAAGGGGGAGCTTTTCAGTGGGTATAAAGATTCAGTTATGCAAGATGATATGGTTTGGCTGCGTCCCCACGCAAATCTCATTTTGAATTGTACTCCCGTAATTCCCATGTGTTGTGGGAGGGACCTGGTGGAGATAACTGAATCACGGCGGCAGTTTCTCCCATACTGTTGTCATGGTAGCGAATAAGTCTCACGAGATCTGAGAGTTTGATAAGGGGAAACTCCTTACGCTTGGCTCTCATTCTCTCTCTTGCCGCCACCACTTAAGAAGTGCCTTTCGCCTTCCACCATGATCTTGAGGCCTCCCTAGCCATGTGGAACTGTGAGTTTATTAAACCTCTTTCTTTTGTAAATTACCCAGTCTCGGGAATGTCTTTTTCAGTAACGTGAAAATGAACCAATATACAAGATGAATGAGTTCTAGAGATCTGCTGCACAACATCATGCCTATAGTTCACACAGTATAGTACACTTAAGAATGTGTTAAGAGGGCAGACCTCATGTTAAACATTTTTACCACAACAAATAAACATATAAAATTAAGAACACAAGGAAACCTTTGGAGAGCATATGTTCATTACCTTGATTGTTGGGATAGTATCATGGGTATATGCCTATGTCCAAATTCACCAAACCGTATACATCAAACGTACAGTTTTGGTTTTGGTTTTGTTTTGACACAGGGTCTTGTTCGGTTGCCCAGGCTGGATGGAGTACAGTGGTGCAATCATAGCTCACTGCAGCTTCAAACTCCTGGGCTCAAGCAATCCTCCTATGTCAGCTTCTCATGTAGCTGGGACCATAGACACGTGCCACCACACCAGTCTAATGTTTTTTTGTTGTTGTTGTTGAGACAGAGTCTCACTTTGTTGCCCAGGCTGGTCTTAAACTCCTGGGCTCAAGCCATCCTCCTGCCTCAGCCTCCAAAGTGCTGGGATTACAGGTGTGAGCCCCTGGGGCCTACCTAGTTTTTCAAATGTATCAGTTATACTGCAATAAAGCTGTTTTCCAAAAACAAAAGAAAACTCAACCACAGCTGGTGATGGGCTGTGAAGTGGGAGGGAGGATTCCTCCATGGCTCCCCGACTTTGAACTTGGATGCCCAGGTAAACGGCAAACCAGGGAAGACACAACAGACGCAGGTATTGGTGGATTTCCACCCACAACTGCCCCACACAGGCAACCACTATACGAAATGTTTTCACCTCTTTGTTCATGATATATATATGCAGTGATGTGATGGTAAATGTTTAGCAACCACATCTCCAAGAAGTTGAATGTACACATGTGGGTATGTGTGCCTATTCCTTTGTAAGTTTACTACAAATTTTTAAAATTTTTTTCCAGCTTAATTAAGGTATAATTGACAAATCAAAAGTATACATATTTATAATGTATAATGTGACGTTTTGATCTACATACACACTGTAAAAGATCAAATCAAGCTAACATATCCATCACCTCACCTCACATACTTAGCTTATGTTTGTGGTAAGAACACTTAAGACCTACTCTCTTAGCAATTTTCAAGTATACAACACTATTACGATCTGAATGTGTGTATCTCTCCAAAATGCACATGTTGAAGCCTAATCCCCAATGCAATCGTCTTAAGGGACCTTTAAGAGGTGAGGAGGCCATTGGGGTTGAGCCCTCGCAGATGGGATGAGTGCCCTTATAAAGGAGGACTGAGGAAACTTGTTCTTCCCTTCTGCCATGTGAGGACCCAGCTAGAAGGCACCGTCTGTGAAGCACAGAGCAAGCCCTCGTCAGACACCGAATCTTCCAGCACCTTGATCTTGGACTTCCTCAGCCTCCAGAACTGTGAGCAATAAATTTCTGTTGTTTATAAGCCACTGAGTTTATGATATTTTGTTATAGCAACCCGAACAGACTAAGACAAATACATTAACCATAGTCATCATGCTGTGTCTTATAAATTTTTTGATATAAAGGATGTACAGCACCCAATTTACAAATAATAAGATTGACTTTTATGTAAATCGGTAAAGTCAATTGATTCTTACAGAATGGTTTTGTTGATATTTGCCAAACCATTGTAATTGCAGCCAACATATGGTTGCAACTGATGAACAAGTGTAGTTCCAATATGAATGCTGGTTAATATTTTTGTTTACATTAACAAGTAAGAAGAAAGCAAAATAAATGACAAAGACATATGGTGGAAAACATTTTCATCATTCATAAGGGTAACTCTTTGTTGAATCAGGTAGTAGTTGTCAAATACTAGAAGACTGTTTCCTCAATTTTTGTGCCATTTACAATGCAGCAGCTGAAGACATGGCAAACTTTTAAGTCAAATCTGCATGACTAACATTCCCCCTACCCTGCCACTTCCTTGTGTCTAGATAATCAACAAAACAGGCAAGCTCTGATTGGCAGCATTTGTCCATTTTTTGGTGTAAATACTCCCATTGTGGCCTATTCCAGGCTACCAAGGTGATATTACTGAACACAGAGCTGCAGAGAGATGTACAGTAGCAAACCAGAGTAGTGTATTTTCATCACGCAGATGCAATAGCTGCCAGGCGCGGTGGCTCAGGCCTGGAAACCCAGCACTTTGGGAGGCTGAGGCAGGCAGGTCACTTGAGGTCAGGAGTTCAAGACCAGTCTGGCCCACAGGGTGAAACCCCATCTCTACTAAAAATACAAAAATTAGCTAGGCTTAGTGTCACATGCCTATAATCCCAGCTACTTGGGAGGCTGAGGCAGGAGAATAGCTTGAACCTGGGAGGTAGAAGTTGCAGTGAGCCGAAATGGTGCCATTGCACTCCAGCCTGGGCAACAAGAGTGAAACTCCATCCCAAAAAAATAAAAAATAAACTGATGCAATAGCTATAAATAACCTCAAAAGCACAGCTAATAGTAAAAGGCAGTAAAATGATTAAGAAATGATGAGTTTAGAATATTAAATTCAATATAATTTATTTAACTATAAGTGTAATTAATTTTTAATAATGGCTGTGTTTAACAACTGGCTTGCAAAAGTCCTGAAAAGTTAACTGTTGGCTCTTGCATGCCAGTTCAACCCAGCCCCAACACACCATGACAAAAATGCCCAAAAAAAATGTTATTTTGTTTTTGTACTTTAAGAAATGGTAATATGCTGCAGGCACTGGGAGTTGCTTTTTCACACCACATTATGTCACTCTTGTCTTTTGACCCTCAACATGATCCTTGCCTCTTCTTTGCTCTCAGCTGATGAATCACAGGATGGGGCAGCCTGGGAACAGCCCTTACGGTCTCTGTTCTGAGATCACCAGCGAGAAGTGCATGGTGGGACAAACAGATTTCACTCTTCCTGGAGCAGTGACAGCAGCAGATAACCGGGCTTCCGCAGTAGCAACAGAGGCTTCCTGATCCCTCCTGACTTCTGAGGAGCACCACCTCCCTAGGATTTTGCTCCCTGACCATCCCTTGCAACCATTTTCTTTCTTTTTTTTTTTTTTTTTTTTTCAAGATGGAATCTCACTCTGTCACCCAGGCTGGAGTGCAGTGGCGTGATCTCTGCTCACTGCAATCTTCGCCTCCCAGGTTCAAACAATTCTCCCGCCTCAGGCACCCGCCACCACGCTTGGCTAATGTTTGTATTTTTAGTACAGACGGGGTTTCACCACATTGGCCAGGATGGCCTTGCAACCATTTTCCAGGCACCTGATTTCCTGAATTAAACCTTTCCTGCTGGAAATAAATAAAATGGTTTCTGGTTCTCAGATTAAAAGGCTAGAATGTATTCATGCTAATGCCTGTTACCTACTCTCATCATTTTCACTGTGGTATAATGTCCCATTTTGTGACCATATCCCACAGGATTCTCCCTAACTTGGCTCCATTTTACAACCTGCCTGCCCAGCCTCTGATGCTTTTCATAGCCAGTGTTCTCAGTGTTCACAGAGACCGTGCTGCAGTGTTTACCCAAATGGTTCTTATGCTTACCCATTAGCGTCCTCAATCCTTGATCTCATTCCCCCTCCTTTTCCCATAGATGTCCCAGTAGATCCTGCTTTCCAGTCTGTCACCCTTGGCGTACAGGCTACCATAAGTTGAAGAAGGGTCTATTGCTGGAGAAGACTAGTTCATAGGAGTCAGTTCAGGCTCGCAGCTGCCAACATGAAAAAAATCATCTCAGAAAAATGTAGCTCAGCTGCTTACAGTAAGTCCTTGTTATACCTGCGTTTATCTTCGTGGGACACAGATGCAACCGCTTCTCTGTGCTAACAAGCTGATTAAGCTCAGCCAGGACTCTTCCGGAGGGTCCTCCCTCTCCCCACATAATCTATGTTGAGATGCTCAGCACAGAAGTTAATGCATTACTGAGACAAAAAAGTCGTCTCTCTTTAGAGGGTTCCCAGCATCACCAGAACTCCCAATTCTCCTCCACCTCTTTGTATCCCTTTGTATCATTCATTCCTCATTCCATGTTTGGTGTCACTGAGCCTTTCAAAGAGGGCAGATAAAGCTCTTTGTATTTCACAGAGAGATCTAGAATTGCAATTACATCCATGACACATATTTTCATGCCCCTCCATTCTAGGGCACTCATAGACCACAGTAAGAGATGCTTCTGCTCCTTCTGAGGAAGCCCAACAGGCGAGATGCACCCCCTGACTGTCCCACCAAGAGTAGACCATCCGCCCTCTCTGACCGCATGCTTCCCTCTGTCAACATGAAATGGCATGTTGTTCCTGAACATCTCATGATGGTCTGTGCTTCTGTGCCTTTTGCCTATCCTATGTCTGCTTCTGGGCACACCTTTTCTCTCCTTGCCTTTTGGTTGAAGCCCTACTCACCCTTTAACACCCAGTTCATTCTGAGTTGGACTTCTGGAAGGATCAGAAACTATCCTCTGTGCAGACACTACACATCACTTCACTCTCTTTTTCCCCAAGGCAAACAACACTAATCTAGTCCAGGTCACGTTCCTGTTACGTCCAGATATGCCTCAAAAACTCTAGCAGAACAGTGCTCCAGGCAGCACTTCCCAATCACATGAGCAAGCAAGATATATGCCTCTCCGTGTCCCTGTCTAGGTTTCTTCCTTTTCTGGAGACAGGCTGGGGGCTGGCAGCTGGGGCTGTCTATTGCTAAGTGCAATTCCAGGAGTCTGCAGAATGGAAGCCACATCTTTTTTTTTTTTTAGACAGAGTTTTGCTCCATCACTCAGGCTGGAATGCAGTGCCGTGACCTCGGCTCATTGCACCCTTGGCCTTCCAGGTTCAAGCAATTATTGTGCCTCAGCCTCCCAAGTAGCTGAGATTACAGGCATGCACCACCACGCCCAGCCAATTTTTGTATTTTGGTAGAGACAGAGTTTCACTATGTTGGCCCAGGCTGGTCTCAAACTCCTGACCTCAAGTGATCCTCCCACCCCGGTCTCCCAAAGTGCCGGGATTACAGGTGTGAGCCACTGCAACCGGCCAGGAACCAAATCCTTGATGCCTCCAGGACCAGAGGCCAAGCGGGCCTCCCTCTTCCAGTGCTTTCTGATCTGTGCTAAAATCAGATGCTCCCTCTGTTCCCCAATCCTGAGCCACTTGGATGCACATGTGATTTTGGTACAGCTTCCTTTAATTTCACGTTTAATTATTTTTCTTACTACAAATCTTCGTCAGAGCTGTACTTCTATGCTTTTTACCTTCACTGGCAAAGCTTCTAGAAACAAAGTATGTTATTGAAATTTTAAAAATAAAAAAAATTACATAAAACCCAGTTCAGGTATCTCCACTTCTATGAAGCCTTCTCAACCACCACGAATCTGAAATACCCTATTCTATGTCCTCTGCACCTTGTATAGGATTCTTTATGCCCTTGAGGGATGAGGGAAAGTCTTCCCCCTTAATTTCCGTCACTTTAGGAGCAAACATAGTAACAGACAAGGAGCAGACTTACTGTTTACTATAAGAGCTGTAGATTTCCCAAGTTCAGTGTTCATCAGCTAAAATGTAAACTCACTACATGCTTAGCATTCACCTCGGCACAACCAGGTTACCCCTGTGGGACTTGAGGGGCAAAGGGAATCAATGCCAAGATGACGCTCATGGGGCCAACATGACTGGCCCCAGAGTCAAGCATAGGTCCTGATTAGTATATATGTAGAAAGTAATGAAGTTCAATGGACTAGACTGAAGACAGGGAACTTTCCTTCTGCTGAATACCACCTAGCCCAGTGTTTCTTTTTATTTTCTTTTTCTTTTGGCCCAGTATTTGTTAACCTCAGCACTATTGACATTTGGAACCAGATAATTATCTGTTGTATGGGGGTTGTTCTGTGCATGATAGGATATTTAGCAGCATCCCTGGCCTCTACACGGTAGATGTCAGTAACACCCACCCCCAATCAAAAATGTCTCCAGACATTGCCAAATGTTCCCTGGGAGAGCAGTATCATCCCCTACCCTCACCACTGAAAACCACTTATTTTACCTATCCGGAAGTGGGGGTGGGGTGGGGAGGAGGAAGCAAGGAGTTATAACTAAATTATCATTTAGTGGAGTTTGAGATGCTAATGTACCGGAGAAGTATAAAAATATTGCACTCACCTGCCTCTTCACTCAAGGATCACACATGATAAGTCACAACATATTGCAGCCAACAGCTAACACAATCTTCATGAGCACCCATGGGTGCCAGGCAGGAGTGTCCACTACATCGTCTCATCCACACCCACAGCCATTCTGCGAAGTGGGCATTTCCACTCTGCAAGAACCTGAGGCACAGGGAGGTCACGTACCTTGCCGAGGGGAAGAGTTTGGACTTGAACACAGAGCTGTTGATCTCTGTCGCACGTGTTCTTAATCATTAACCTATTGTTAATGATCCCACAAAGAAAGTGGGGGACGACATGGAAGAGAGCGGATTGGAAGTTATGAAATGGGAAACCAAAGTTTACTTTGAGGGGGAAAAAATATCAAACTTACATGTCAATAGCATCCTCTTAAAGGTTGAAAATATGTAACCCTTTAGATATTTTAAGAGCACATAGAGTACCAGAATCTGTACCAACATGTACTTTAATTCTTATGTAAAATGTTAAAATACAGGCCCAAGTGAATGGCTCTCTTTCCTGCACCCAGAAAAATGCAAACCATCCAGTCTAGGAAGCAGCAAAGTGACCAAACCTGTTTGAACAAACCCAATGCTACACTCCACTTCAATGGAGTACCTTTCCCATCTGGTGGTGGATTAAAGAATTGTCCCTAAAACACTTTTAAATCCAGTCGTGACTTTGCAAAGTAGCATCAGTGCCGGCCTGAGTCCCAGCAGTTAGACACGTACTGATCCCCCAAATTGATTACTAATTGACACCAGATTCTGGTAATTGCAAGGGCAGGTCAATTACTGCCTGCCTATAGAATTATTAGTACAAAGATGAGTTACCCCTAAGGAAAAACACTATTTTGACTTTATTTAAACTATTCCCTGAGAAGCTAACATTCCCCTACATCATTAATTCTCAGAAATATTTTTAATGCACTATAATATTTTATCCTAGAGGCAGAGTAAAATAGCAAGAAATAAGAAAAGGGAAGAGAGGGAATGGGAGAGAGGGGCAGTCGCAGTCATTGCCATAATGGGTGGAGAGCCAAAAATAAGAATACATAATTAGATTGAAAACATATGAGGCCGGGCATAGTGGCTCATGCCTGTAATCCCAGCACGTTAGGAGGCCGAGATGGGTCGATCACGTGAGGTCAGGAGTTTGAGACCAGTCTGACCAACATGGTGAAATCCCATCTCCACTAAAAACACAAAATTAGCCGAGTGTGGTGGCAGGCACCTGAAATCCCAGCTACTCAGGAGGCTGAGACAGGAGAATTGCATGAACCCGGGAGCCAGAGGTTGCAGTGAGCTGAGATCGCGCCGCTGCACTCCAGCCTGGGCAACAGAGTGAAACTCTGTCTCCAAAAAAAAAAAATATATATATATATATACACACACACACACACACACAAACATACACGTGTATACATATACACACACACACACAAAAACATACACGTGTTTATATATGTATACACGTGTATGTTTGTGTGTGTGTGTGTACATATATAGTGTATATATACACTATGTGTATATATGTATACACGGGCAATCTACAAGTAAACATACCTCAGGTTCCATAGAAAGCACTAAATATCATCTCATCTAATTTTTCCAACTCTATGTGGTGGGTCCTATTATTTTTCATTTCGCATGTGGAAAAAAGAAAAGGCTCAGAGAGGTTAACTGGTTTGCCCAAGGACTCAGATGAGCGAGCAACAGAACCAGGATTCAAAATCAGATATGTCTTCTCCAAAGTCCACCATCATCCAGCTGCAAGTTTTCAACAGCAAATGCAGCCAGCGTCCACTAATGACAGCTTGTGTGCCAGGTCCTGGGGAATAGAGAGGTGACTGGGGCCTGCCTCCAAGAGTTAGTGCAGCATCTGGCTGCCTAGGGGACACCAGGCTTCCAGTGTCTAAGAGCACACCCACCTGCTCACCAGCATTCACTGAAAATAATAAATACTCCCAATCTCAGCTCCAACATTCTGAAAAAAATACCAAAAATTATTATTTACAAATTATAGCAAAAGTTGGCCAGGTACGGTGGCTCACGCCTGTAATCCCAGCACTTTGGGAGGCTTAGGCGGGTGGATCACCTGAGGTCAGGAGTTCAAGACCAGCTGGTCAACATGGTAAAACCCTGTCTCTACTAAAAATACAAAAATTAGCCGGGTATGCTGATGCATGCCTGTAATTCCAGCTATTCGGGAGGCTGAGGCAGGACAATCACCTGAGCCCAGGAGGCAGAGGTTGCAATGAGCCGAGATCAAGCCACTGAACTCCAGCCTGGGTGACAGAGCAAGACTCTGTCTCATAACAAGAAAATTACTGTAAAAATGAAATTCAACAAAAGGATTAACATCAAGAGATTAACATCAAGATTAACATGAACCGACACTGCGATTTCCCTACAAGGGGAGGAAAAGCTACGTTTGAGGCTCTTTGGATTTTTGTGGGCTTTCTTTCCCCATTTTATTTAAAATAAGGCAATGGAAGTGGAGCTCTTGCTTCTATACTAAATGCATTTTGACAGGCTCAGTGACACCAAACATCAAGGAGGAATGAAACATTACAAAGATGTTCCCCTTTAAACAAATGTGAGGTCAGCGCTTTTAAATATTATGTGCTTCTTGGACACGTATCCTAATTCAAGACAGCATCTCACACAAACTGGAGCTGGCAAGCAGTCAAATAACCTGGCTGCGCACATCACTGATAAGGCCAATGACTCCCAGCACCTTCTGACAAACCTTTGTTTCCTGCTTCTTGTCTGAAGTACACTGTTTGTTTGGCAAAAGCCAGGAGACGTGAGAACCTCCCACAGCAAATGTTGATATAAAGAAAATGTCCTAAGTGACCAGTGATATTTATCCAGGTATTATTTCCACCACCTGTGCAGAGTTTACCAAGTAGGTGGGTAGGGTCGCTATCTTGGGTGCGTTCAGCTTGAGTTGCCCGGATACCACATCTTGAGTTCAACAGGGAACGTAAATCTAATTGTTCCTCTCTTCACTTAAACCCTAAGGATTCCAAATTAGATCACATTGCTGAACCACATGAGTGAACCTTGTGCATCTGAACTCTCAGTGTGGTTTGCAAAGCTACACTCTGGAACTAAAGGCAGGAAGCTTTGCTATCGACAAGATGTTAGCGTCTCATCAAACACAGCCAATGTTCAAGAATCTTGCCCCTTGGCAGGAGCGTGTTTTAATTGCTGGCGATATTGCAGAACAGATTTCTGAAGTCTAATTTTCTTTCTGCAGCCAAATTTTTGACGTATATTAATAAGATCCTCGTAAACTTCCATCTGTGGGCACAGTCATCGCTGCCATTAATTCAAAAACATAGCTGGCTTCCACAGCTCTAAAAAAGAAAAAGAAGAAAATTTGGAAAAATTATTCCCAAAAAGGACACGATTATAAAGTTTATAGTAGGAGCAAACTTCAAAGTGACAAATCCTATAGAACGTTTAGAAAATTTTAATATGGCTGGGCACAGTGGCTCACGTCTGTAATCCCAGCACTTTGGGAGGCCGAGGCAGGTGGATCACGAGGTCAGGAGATCAAGACCATCCTGGCTAACATGATGAAACTCTGTCTCTACGAAACATACAAAAAATTAGCCGGGCGTGGTGGCGGGCGCCCGTGGTCCCAGCTGCTCGGGAGACTGAGGCAGGAGAACGGTGTGAACCCAGGAGGCGGAGCTTGCAGTGAGCCGAGACCACGCCACTGCACTCCAGCCTGGGCGACAGAGCGAGACTTCATCTCAAAAAAAAAAAAAAGAAAGAAAATTTTAATATGATTAAACTTCATGGAAATGTTTAAGGTCTCTTTTCATGAAATGATTTTTTTTCTTTTGACTATATTTCCATTTTATAGCACTATCACAACAGCAATTAATGAATTAGCTGCATAATGATCTATTTTATGTCAGTCTCCCTGCTCGTTCTGTAACCCCCCAAAGGGAGTAACTGGGACTGACCTGTTTACCTTCCCAATGCTCGGTATACTGACAAATAGCAGGGGCCCAAAAAAATTTTTTGTTGCTGCTATCCCCACAATAGGATTATGATTGCATTGTCAGAAGTGCCAATTAGCTATCTCAAAAGCACTCAGCTTCATTTAATGACTTCCTCTATACTACAGTTAGGCAAGATGTGACGGAAGTGAAGGAAACATGCAATCTCCTTGTATATTTTTTGCAACAACCTGTGAATCTACGATTATTTCAAAACAAAGAGCTTTTCTTCAAAAAAAAAAAAAAAAAAAGATTTTGCTCCCTGCCACCAGCTTCTTAGATTTCACCTAGATCTTAGGAACTTCCATCTCATTCTCTCATACTCACAATATACTTGGCTTCCTGATTTCAACAATGTTTTCCAGGAGGTTGACTTTCAACAACCCAATCTGAGCTAGAAGCTCAGCGTTCCTTCCCACCCGCCCTTGACAAAGCAGATTACTTTATACAACAACAGCCACTTTGCTGAGACAGCCGGCCAAAACACCAAGTGTGGTGCCAATTTTTTACAATTGATTCCTTTCTGTCTCCTCCACACAGAGACCACCAAAAAGCTGTCACATGGTAGTAATTTTCAAGAATTTGCTGGCACATCAAGGGTCAGAAAGAAATGTTGATGAGCTGGTCATTTGCTCAAGATTTCTGGTTGGCAAGAAAATACAGAGCATGTGCACCCAGGTTCCCAGGTAACAAACCACACACCCAAGTATTATTGAGCCTCATCCGTGGCAGTCTCATGTTACACAAAGAATAAGGCCACCACCGAGCTGCCAAGAGCCTTGGAAAACTATGCAAAGTGCATTAAAATCAACAGAAAAGCTTCTCATGTCACAATATTTAGATAACTTCTCACTTCTCCAAGCTTCCCCCAAAAACCACCCCTCCCTGGCCAAAGTTTGACACTACTGCCTTGAATCACACAGTCAGATTTGGACTTTTCAACAAAACACAGAACAGATATTAACTTTCCCGCGAACCTGGGAATATGGTTGGCAGTTCTGGGCATGAAGAGAAGTTCATCGTCCAGGGGCAGAGCTGAGCCAGGGTTGCAGGGAGCCAGCAGAAGGTGGTTCCCAGCTGCCCTCGCCATTCCTGAGCTGAGCCCACTCTCTGGGCCTCTTTGTCTTCCCAAATGATGCCCTTCCCTGGAAAAAAAAGCAAAAC